ATATGACATTTTCCTTCTGACTCTCCCCATTTGTGTGGCTTATGCAGGAGACAAGGGAGGAACATTCTAAATGACCTGGAGCTATGCATCTTGCCAGAATCAACAAGCAGGGGAAGCCATTGGGGAGAACAATTGAGCCACTTTTCAAAAACAATAACCCTCTGGGACCCCCGACTTCAAACTGGCCCTGGAGGAGTGGACTGGAGTGGACTGTACTGTAGTGGAAGGCCCTGCGGATTGTGTGGAGCAGGCTGAGTTGCACGTGGGTTCTGGCCATTGATGGTCATATGTGTGGCCAAATCTCAAACTCAGTATTGTTTTTAAGAAAATCTTTCTGAATGAAGAAATGTCCATGGGCTTGTACTCCGTAAAAGCTAAGATTCTTTGCAGAATTTCGTTGGGCAGCAGTTCTGTGTCTAGGGGTGGAGGTTTGGCATCTGTCAGCCTGTCCCACAGGGCAGACTGAAGTCCTGGGTGTTGGCCCAGGCTGAAATTCCCAGGGGAGTACCCCAAGGGCTGGGTCCTAGGGCCCCTTGACATTCTTAAAATTTACTGAAGGCCCCAAAGGGCTGTGAATATTTGGCTGTATATACTGCAATTTACCATTTTAGGAATTGACAGGCATTTCAAAAATATTTGTTTCTTCATGTAAAAAGAATATTAACCCATTGTGTGGAGGCATAACATTTTTTTTTTTTAAATAGAGATGGGGTTTCACTATGTTGGCCAGGCTGGTCTCGAACTCCTGACCTCAATGATCCACCCGTCTCGGCCTCCCAGAGTGCTGGGATTATAGGCATAAGCCACCGCGCCCAGCGAGACATAACATCTTTTATGGAAAAAAAGCTGTATTTTCAAAATAAAAAAAATGAAAAGAATGGCATTGTTTGGTGCTTTTTAAATCCCTTTAATGTCTGCTTTATGAGAAGGCAGTTGGATCCCCCCATCTGCAGTCAGTTGCATGTCATGTGGCCTCTAGAAAACTCCACTGTGCATTTGTGAGGGAATGGGAGGGACAGGGACACAGCTATCTTATTATCTTGAAGATAGTAAGATAAAGTGGTTTCATCACTCCTGGAGGTCTTGCCGTAGGGGTGAGGTCGCTCATATGTGGGCACCATGTGACAGGCTACCACATGTGACAGGTGGAAGCACAGTTGTAGGGACTTGGGCAGAGGCCTGGGAGGCCAGGGGCTACGGCACTCCCTCGCTGAAGATAGGGAGGTGCCTGGGGAGCACCAGTTCCGGCTGTTCTCTCGTATCTGTGGTTTGAATTAGAAGCTCAGCAGCTTAGGCCTCAGAGAGATCTTGAGGATATTTGGTCCATATTATGTAACAAATGAGGGAACTTAGTTCTTCAGTCTTCTAGAATAATTTTATCCCTTTTTGTGTTAAAACGTGGATGCAGCCTGGAAGTGGTAATGCTAGATGCTGCATACCACCTTGATGGAACTAGTTGAAGTGATTGGCCTCAGTCACCTGAGACTGCAGAGCCTGGGACCAGTCAGGGCAGCAGCCTTCAAGGGACTCTTTGGAAGCTTGGCACAGCTTGAGTGCGGGGGCTGTGATGCACAAGCACAGACAGCTGTCTCTCTGTCTCTTCCCCCAGGGTTTGTCGAGCCTGTATGCTGTTCCCTGCCCTGTGTTGGCTGCCCAGGTAGGTACGACAGTTTCTATCCTCAGGTCACCTTTACTGGGGGGCCAACTAAAGGTCCGTAGAAGAAACTGTGACATCAGTGTCATTCGACAAGCCACCCAAGAGTGCCTTGGAACAAAGGAATGTTCATTGGCAGTGACTGGAGAATCAGAAGAGGTGGCTCTTTTTACCTGACGTGTAAAGGAGCTGAGGAGAGAAGGGTGTTGCAGAGAAAGCAGGGGTCTCCATCCTCTTCCTCCGCGCTGCTGTTGCAGGCTGGCAGTCTTTGAGTATGCACACAGATGTGGCTGTGGCTGTGCTGTGCCCTGTCAGAGGTCCTGTGAGTCCCACCACCTCCTAAAGCACAAAGGTCCTTAGTGTGGTGCTCAGAGAGCCCTGAACCATGGGGTACAAGATGGGCAGAACTGGCCATGAGCCGACTTTGTAGAAAGGCGGCCTTAGAGAGAGGGGGAGGCAGTAATGGCCATGGACCCGTTTTTCTCTGTCAGGAAGGATGGAGGAGTGGGGAGGACCTGATCTATATTTGGCAAGAGAAGCTCCTTCAGTAGCTGGAGCAGGTGGTTTTGGGGAATATGAAGGACAGGTTCCTTCTTGGGTCCCAGTGCTTTCCTCCTAGGAAGCCTGACCTCCTGTGTGACTGCATGGCTCTGGTCAGATTCCTGACCACTTGGCATCATGACAGTGGAGGACAGTGGGATTCTAAAAAGATTTAGAGGAAACTTAGTAATGTTTACAGGAGACAGTTTGAAATCAGATTGTCGTGACTCTTTTAATGGCTCAAATCATAGAGAGAAGGATAACTCCCGTAATGAAATGCTACGAGTGGATTTTGATGGTGGAGCGAAGGAAGTTTGAATTAGCTTTGATTAGAATGCAGCCTCATCACGGGAACTCCATTGCCATCGGGAGTAGTGGATGCTTTAAGGTGTATTCCCCTCAGAGGTGGGCATTGGAGTGATTTGCTTGGACACCAGTCGCGCCCGTGGTCCTGGGTAGCTTACTGCTCATCAGCCCAGTGAGTGGGGCTCTGCTTTTCTCCCTTTGGCTTTGCCTCTGGGCCAAGAAGCAAACTTCCTGAAATAGAAAAGGAGGAGCTGTTCTTTGGCCAATGATTTGAGAATAGCTAGAACTTAAGTTACCAGCTGTGGAGGGCGGTTCCCTGTGGGCCTCATCAACAGCTGAGGGCCCCCTTTCAGAAACCTGTGAACAAGCTCCTCCAGAATTCTTGCATGCCGCTTTTGCAGAACTGAAAAAAGCAATGGTCAGTCATGCTTGCCCCAAGCTGCTTCTGTCAAGATTTTCATTCTACGGTCTTGACCAATGGGTGGGGTTTGGTTGCACTTTGGCATCTTGCATTCATAGACTATGGAAACCAGGTTAGGGAGCATGTTGGAGATGGCTCTGTAACTCACAATGCTAAGAGTGAGAACACAGCACATGGTAAGTGTATGTTGAATGAATTAATGAAAGAATATGAATTTCGGGACTAAAGGGAAACAGAAAGAGGTGATTATGAAGGAAGTGAAAACAGACCACCCAGATGACCACAGTGAACCCGGGGTTTATGGAGTCCTTGTTAGGGCAATTGAATTCTTATTTGAGAATTGAAGGAGGTAACAATGGAATCTTAATCTTTTCTACCCAAATTACAAGAGTCAGGTAAAAAGAGAATTAGTGCAGAATCTGGTATTTGAGCTTCCTGCATCAATTTTTCTAAATTATTTGCCAGTTTGCAGGTTGTTTCCATTAGCTAACGCAACACTCAGAGTTTGCCTTTGTCATTGCATAGTTTGTCCCCAAGTCATGGGAGCTGAGGCTGCGTCCAGGTGGCTGCAGGCCTGGGAGGTGTCAATGATGCGGCGGATCTGGGGGTTTTGGGAGAGGTTTGAGCCGACCCAGCTGGGCAGCACCGTAGGGCTGCTGGGTAGGTGTTTTTGGGAAGCAGAATGCTGAGCTCTCACTCAGAACCCTAGCATAGGAGGCAGATGATCACCTGAGGCCCTCTGCACAGAGAAGGAACCGGCTTCGGAAAGCATCATGGGTTTCTCCTGCCTCCTCAGCTGGTATCCCCAGTTCTAGGAAGGCAGAACAGGTCATTGAGAGGTACAGCTTGGCTTCTGGATCACGACACAGGAGCAAAGTGGTGGATGAATCATGTCTGTGAACAACGAGATGTGAACAGCCCAGCATAGGACACAGAGTTGCCAACATGATGGGCCTAGTGGTTCACTGCTAGGTCTGATTTAAGAAAGACACCTGGATAGGACGACGTAAGAACCATCTCTGGGTCCCCAAGGGTGGGTTGGGAGCTGAGCTACGCCCGTAGCTGGCCAGGGGCCATAGGGACTCTCATGGGTCTGGAGGGTGTTGCATGGGGGCTGCCACACGGTGACTCATGAGTGTGGTGGATAGGGGCCTCAAAGTGGGCCAGCTCTGCCCAGACCAGAGCCTCCTGCTTCCTGTGGAGCGTCTCTGGAGCCTGTGTGACCGCGTGGCCGGAGAGCGTGGTCTTGGGGCAGACAGATGCAAGAGGCTGCCCCGGATGGAAGTTGTCTGCATTTGGAGGCAGGAAACAACACAGGACTCCCCCTGCGGTTGGTATGCCTACTCTTAAGGTGTCTCATGCCTGCCTGCATCTGCCTGCCCTATACCCTCAGGATCCAGGTGTCCTTTTGGAACCGGGGATCAGGAGCCAGAGGGGCTAGGAGCCTGATACTCCTGCCTCAGGTGTCTGGGCAGGCATTCTGGTCCTCTTGCCTTGGGCTGCCAGGGTGAGGGTACCTGGGAGGCTGTTGCACCGGTCTGTGCAGGAGACCAAGAAGATTAAATAAAGGAGATGATGCACATTCATTAAAAATGAACACTGCAGAAAAGTTAGGTTAAACTGCCAAATAAAGTCATTTTTAAAATGGCCACACCCTGTGCCAGTGTTCAATCTTGTGCGACCTGCCGACTGTACGATAATCGTACATTTCAGAGCCGTGAATCATTGTTTACCAACCATTCCTGTTGGTAGGAACCCTATGTTTTCATTGTCTTTGCTAAATTTTTGATTTTCTGAATTGAGGATGGGTCTTCCTTATACACGTTAGTATAGACATTACCCTGAAAACCTAGAACATACAATAGTTAAGTATTGAATGTACAAATGATACAGAGTGAAAAGATACATCATTTTTAAAACAGAATGTGAGGCCCTGCTGGGCTCTGGGGTATGTCCTGGTGATGGGCTAATGTTGACAACGGGCTGTTCGGGGATGGTGATAAAGCATCCGAAGCACATTGACTCTGTTTCCCCACAGCTTTCTTCACTGGGGAGAGCAGAGGTCTTAACTGTGCACGCCTCTTCACTCCAAACTATTACTGCTCGTACAGTTCTAACAATTATGATTACATTACGTCTCTTCCACAAGCAAGAATGTCTTTCCTCGGTGTATCTTTTCCCCCCCAACTCCTTTAATGGAAGAAGAAAAGGAAAAAGAAGGGAAGAAAAAGAAAAGAAAATAGAAGGACGAAGTCCTTAAGTATTTCCAGAAGTGTCCTGTATAGAAAACGGCCTTGCATTTAATATTCATATGACTTGACCTCAAGCACTTAATAGCCTCATTGCGTTTAGGTCTAGGGCAGTGATTTCTCTAGAATTCCTAGAAAGGGAGCTCCACAAGGGCAGAGGGAGATCATGAGGGACTCTGAGTGTATACGTTTTTGTGTGAGGAAAAGCATATAGGACCCTTGGCCTGAAACTGGACGAAAACATTCTTTCTTAGATAAATTTTAAGGTTGCATGAGTAGTTTGTGATCTTTATTTTAAATAGTCAAACCCAGAAGTCTGTAGAGAGTGAAATTCCCACTTTGCTTCTCTATTCCATCTCATGGCCCTCCTTCAAGGTTGGTGTTCTGGGTTCTTTTGGCTTTTTTGTGTGTGGAATTAATTAATTACTTTTTTATTGGTACGTGATAGATATACATGGTTTCAAGGTATATTAAATAATTTAATACATTCATAAAATTCACAAAGATCAAATAAGTTTACTGAATATTATCCACCACCGGAAATATTTGTGTGAATGCTAGAACCATTCAAATTCTTCTCTTCTTGCTATTTTGAAGTGTACATTGGATTATTGTGGACTATAGTCACCTTACTGATTTATTTAATTAACTGTACTTATTTCAAGAATGAGCAGAAATAAGGCCTAGTATTACATAAATCAGTAAGATGACCATATGTTTGTGTCCATTAATCACCTTCCTTTCATTCTCTGTACCCTCTCCTCTTCCCACGCTCTGGTAACCAACCACCAGTCTACTCTCTGTCTTCATGAGATCCACTTCATAGCTTGCACGTGAGTGAGAACATGTCATATGTCTTTCTATGCTGGGCTTATTTTACTTAACATAATGGCCTCCATGTTCATGCATGCTGTTGCAAATGATAGGATTTCACTCCTTTGTTATGGTTGAATAGTACTCTACTGTGTATATGTACCACATTTTCTTTATGAGTTCATTGTTGTTGGACACTTAGATTGATTCCATATCTTGGCTATGTCATTTTGATACAGTGCAGATGTCGTTTTGATACAGATTTCCTTTTTTTTTTTTTTTTTTTTTTTTTGGCGGGGGTTTTCTCTTTTTTCCCCCGGGGGGGGGCGATGGGGCGATCTCGGGGCCCCCCCAACCCTCCCCCCCTCGGTATGGGGCATTTTCCTC